TTGATCTTGTTTAGCATGATTTTTTTTTACTATTTATTCCATCAATACACTTCTATAAGCAAATTATATTTCTGTATTTAATCAGCTAACAAACAAAGCGTTCTGTATTTTCAATATACAGCATATCTGGGAAGTTGACTATTTTCCAAGTGTTCCTTTAATCATATTTTCCGATGTTTCTTATGTCATGTTGATTCAGTTTGCTGAATTGTATATCACAATCATCGTCTATGTCCTTGACATAGTATGACAATCTGTAAAAAAGGGAGATATCCGGAAGCATACATATATCGCAACAAAATAACATGAAAATTGCAGACTCAGTTTGTACAAGAGGGGTAATAAAAAGGTGCAACACTCTCGCTAGCACCAGCGTGAGCCGTATTACATTTTCAACACTTTACGTGTTAGAATAAGACCAGAAAAAATATAACATCACTGAAGTTCAATACGGGATATTTTTTTGCGGCTTGCACACGGTATTTGCTTTAAGTTGCCGTTATTTCCTGTTAATATGTAGAAGACTGCTGAAATCACGAAATGTTATGAACAAATTAACACGCGATAAAAAATTATGTTCTTCACTCCCATTCACATTATATTTGAGTTATATTTTAAAAAGTTACTTAAGTCACCGTTAACTTGTTACAGCTTTAAAAAATTACTTCGATTTCTTCAAAGTTTGATTGGTCTTTTGAAATCAATCGCAAGTTTTGTTTTGTTATATACCGAAATCAATTTTAAATAGCTTTTTACAAGACATTCAAGGATAAACACTTTTTTGTTTTATTAAAAGATTATAACAGTATCTGCTGTGCTTGTTTTCTTGTAGCGGTGTTAACATTATTAAATGAAAATATTTAAATTTTGAATAAAGAAAAAAATCTGTACAAGTAGACAGGGGCTGAAATCAGAAAGTCTGTTAGAAGTTTTTTTTTTTATCCTCTCCGATCTCCATTCAGACGGTAGATGTTTTTAATCATGGACAAATTATTTTTTGATAAAAATTATTTTATCGTTCAAGTTTTAAATGATTTTTTCAACAAAAGATCGCTGTTTTAATTTCTTTGTATTCCGCCTTTCTTGCGATCCAACATAATTAACATGACTTGCTTATTTTATAACTTTATCGGTTCTTCGATGTTAAACAACAACAAAAACAAAACAAAAAGAAATAAAAAAAAAAAAAAAAACTGACATTGGTCGCAATCATGCTGTCAAATATTTTACATGACCAAATCAAGGGAGTAAAGATGGATATGTTATAAGGAAATTTTATTCTTGATGTTGATTAGTTTTTCAAATACTGCTGAATCATTGTTTGAATCGTTGGTGTAATTTTGTATATCTTTATGTTCCTTATTAAGTTCTGTTCTTAATGTTCAAACAAAAATAATAGGAGGATTTGATAAATTTTGTTACTTAAAGTAAATTTGTTTGCAGGTTGAAAATACAACAACAAAAATATCAACAATAACAACAACAACAAAGCAAGAAAGAAAGAACATACTTTTAGTAAATTTACTGATTAATAAAAGACTAAAGGAACCATTTACTATAAGTTCAATAACTGGTCAAAATTTTAGGATCCAGTCAGCTTTCGGTTTTTGGTCGTTCACAATAAATATGACTCTCTGTCTTAGATATATAAGCTGATGAATGAGGCATTCTTCGATCGTTAATGACTGGTGAGCTAAATATTTTTTCATAGAACTTTTATTTTTTACTTTTTGAAACCTTAAACGATTTAAATTAAACAAAGTCATCTATTGAAACTAATATAAATATATACGTTATACGTTTACATGTTTTAACAGATAAACCCAAACTTTGAGCATTCGCGAGAAACATAACAGGACACATTTTGTTCGAATCAATGAGGCAATGTACAAATAAATAGTGTGACTAACTTGTATTAAATAGTACGTAAATAAGAAAGAAAATTACACACGATACACTATGTTTTGTTCATATTTACATAATTATTGTGGTAAATCTGTATTAATTTACAGTTCAGATGCCGAGTATAAAGTGTACATCAATAAGTGCATATTTCATTTAAATAATTTATTAGTTTATCCAGAAGAGCGATGATGTTAAAGTTGCCACTTAACTTCCTGGAGCAAAATTGCTTTTGGAACCGTTTGGTGACATTAATGTAATGATTAAACGTTAAAGTGTCTTTTTTCACCTTAATTATATTCAGTAAGTTTAAAGTTTAAAAGCGAAATAAATGACTGACACTTGTCATGTTTCAGTGTTAATGGTTTTTATACAGATTCACGTGTCTTTACTTTTATTTGTTATCTTTTTATTTTTGTTCATTAAGTGTTTTTTTTAAATATAAATGAACTAATTTCACTTTGATTTAATATGGCGTACTTATTTTAGAAATTGTGTTCTAGTATAGTATAACCTAAACCTGGTTATGAAACATTTGTTTTAAAGTGAAATTTAACATCAACTTCTGAATTATAATGTAATATTTTTACAAAGTTGCAATCATAAACTTAAAACATCATTGTCGTTCTCAACATTTATTACGATCATGATTATTTATGTATAATTTATGCTCACGTGAATTATAAAATATTCTATAATGTCCTTCAAAAAGTGGCTTTGCATTTATTCATTCTAATTAATTTATAAACTTCTAATTGAATACGAGGGTTGACCCAGATGTTTGTAGACTGATTTTTGAATCGTCTCTGTTCTTATTCATTGGCATTTAAATCGGCGTGGGCACAAAACCGATACGAGTCAGTCAAGCTAATATTTTATTCCAAACCTGTTTAGTATTTTATTATCTGTAATTAGATTCAGTGTAGAGCATGCCTATTTTAGTCAATAAAATCATTCTGGTTTTATGACCAAAACAGTAATTTTGTTCATACAGTGTGTTTAAAAATTTAGAAATTCACTACGCAATTTCAGTCTAACAAATTTTATAATAAGCTTACTCAATTAGATGAGCGGACTGTTAACTTTATCTCATAAACTATAATGGTTTTTTATGAAAAAAGGTTTTGCGCTGAGAAAACATCCTTAACCGACTTTGTTATCTTTCTCACGCAGATCACAAGTCAGGTCGTAAAGGCACTGTGTTTGGAATGGCTTTAAGATCAATATAGATATGTCTATATTTTTTTTTCAATTTTGATAATATTGACATGAAATGAGCAAAAGGAATTAATGATAAGCGTTAAAAGAACCAATGCAAAAAGTTTCCAACCATTGTAAAAAAAACACACACGCGCATATATTTTTCTGAATTAATCTCTAGAATTTCTGCAAAGTTTGCAATTATATCCCTGCAGACATTTAATGTAGCACATAAGGAACTTTCACAATTCTGATGTAAAATTGAAAATTAAACGATGTTTGGTAAATCTGCGATTGTTTCAGAATTCGAACACTGTTCATTAAAACGTTAAATTAACTATGGCAAGCAACAGGAAAAAATGTGAGCTGTTCATTAATTCTTCAGTGACACAAATTGGTTGTAGAGGCATGCACGGAAATAAAAACGGTTTAAACGGGTGTCATATGTTAGATAAACTTTTACGTCATGTCAAATACAAAAAAGCGATATTTAGTAGTCTGATTATTGTTTCTTTCAACAGTAATATTATTTAACTCGTATTATTTAATCGAATTATTTATTGTTATTATAACTAACACAGTCTTCGAATTTATGGATCAACCCTTGTTTATATATGATTTAGTGTCATTATTATTAATTGAGCAACCGACAATGAGTTTGATACACGAAAAACGAGTATAATGTATAGAAATTTTGTGCTCAAATACTGTTAATATTCATTCGTTAATGACTTTTTTGCAAACATAAACTTGCTAGAATCCATCTTGATCAGCTGCTCAAGAATTGTATTCACAGACATATATCTATATTGTTATATCTTCAAAAATGTAGACATTCTTACACGTCTGCTTATTATTACTTATCTAGACAGTACTAACATATATCAAACAAGGTATCATTATAACAATAAATTGTTATAAGTAAACTATCTCTCTATTGATTTACAATAGACCTGGGTACACGAACAATAATTAGACTAAGCATGGAATCAGTGTTGCTTTATTATTTTGTATTATGTTTGTAATCAGTACTTTATTTGTTTTATGTTTACCGTTAACGTGACAGGATTTTGTTAAAATGATGTACATAAAAATTGAAGAACTCAAGCATCGACAGAAGCAATATTCAATCGTCTACACTTAATGTGCTGGAATCGATGAAGGCCATTGTATCTACACCTTATAGAAACTAAAGTGTAGAGCTCGAAGGGATATATAAATTCGAAAGCTCGATTGAAAGTAACTGTTTGAAAAAGAAATATCTATTTAAAGACATTGAATTTTTAATTTTGTTACACTGTACATTTTTTTTCTAAATTAAAATTGTATGAACAAAAGACTTCCATTTTTTAGTTATTGTAAATAAATTATATCGTAATCTCAGTTATCAAAATAACTTCATGAAAGCTTCTGTAGCCTGACATAACCTACAAGGCTGTCATTTGCACACTTTGTCACACAATGTATACAGAACGTTCAAACGTAGTGGTTTTTAAAATGTTCTTTTTGTTATAAAAGACAGTTGATATATAAGCATTCTGAGAATGTGATAAAGGGTATAGGCCAATAAGGGTGAATTAATAAGAGCCTGTTTAACTCTGACATGTTCGTTGGTGCAATATTTCTCATGTTTTGGACCCATTGTCAGCCGATTGACAATAATGCATCTATGGGGTGTATTATAAATCCGATCATTTGATGTATAATTGAAATTGTAAGTGGGTATACAACAGAATTGTGTCTTTAAATCTTTCAGCTGCCATAAAATGTTACAAATTAATGACTGGTTTGCTTTCTTTACTTCCTAAGTAAAGATTCATTTCTTTCGTCGCATAATTGAAAATCATGAATAATGACAAGTTAAAGCAGCAATTTACATTCTTCTTTACTCCGTTTTGTTAATAAATTCTGATTTGCACTTTTGTTTTGGTTCCAATTGTTCAAATAAAGATATGTAAAGCTAAAACGTGAATAAATATGTATGAATATCTGTGAAACATTGAAAAAGCTGTAATAAAAACGTACATGTACATACAAGATGGTATTCATTTATCAGATTTCCTATAAAATAGAATTATTTCTTTTTTATATTGAAGATCAACACACGGAGGCGACGGAATTATGTATTGACAATAATACACGTCGTTATGAAGTCATATGTAAAAACATAAGTATGGTAATCTTTAAAATAAATATTTTCAAAGCTTTGATTTAAAAAGTACAAACAGAAACGTGATACTGGTAATGACCGGATAACCGAAAAACAAACCAGGCACACGTTTACAGATGTAATAACACTATAACAGAACAATGAAACGTGAAGAATATGATAAACAAGATCAACAAGGAAAGGCGGCGTTCAATGAACGCAACCCCCACCCGACCCAGTAACAAGAGCCTGTGACAAGGAGCCCAGGAAGACCCCAAACAAAAACAGGACAGGGCACAAGGCTATAAAACTATAAGAAGGAGAATATATATGAACAAAACATAACGTGTACAAACATGCTAAACACAACATATGAAGAACTTTTATTACCAAATACAACATAGTTGATTTCTTGACGGTCATTGGTGCAAGCAAAAAAAGGAATCAAAATAACATAAATAATGTTAATGACAGAATACTAGAAAAAGAATCAAATAGAGAACTCGACACGGATAAACTAACAAAATACAAGCTCTCAAATTGGAAACACATCGTAGAATGAGAAATAGTGATTAAAGTTGTTGAATAATTAACATTCGTATACAAAAATACCGGTAAATATGTTGTCTGGATGAAAATCTTGACTTCAGGTCAAAGAGAATAAGACGAAATATTTTATTCTGTTCATTCTACGAGACATTTATCAAAATTACATATGAACATTGTTGAGTCAAAGATAACAATTCATATCGCTTATGTCCATTCCTGAGCTACTGGAACTTGGTACAGATGTAACAGAATCAACAGAAAATGGTGCTGATATGGCATCATAAGTGTCATGCAATGGCAGTATTTGAGGAACAGTTAATATCGTATTTGAATGATAATGTTGAACGTTCCTGTCGGGTTCATTTGGTGGTAGGGAACTGCTATGTAGGTTATTAGCTTCGCGGAGCTGACGGTCACACATTCTTTGGTTTGAAAAGCGTGTTGAAACTCTAGTCTCTAATCGCTAAAATATAAACAAATTCTTACAAGTAATCAAACTTTAGTCATCGATGCTTAAATTTATTTCAGGTTATAGTATTCACATTTACTATTCTGATTTGTCTTCGTGCTATTTCAAATACGTGATGTTTTATTCATTGCAGACTGGTGTGAGTTTTCTATTCTTATTGTTTAATTTTTATTAAAAGTGTCATTTCTGTGTCAGTTAAATTATAACCTTAACTATATTTGTTTTTACATAAAATCACAAGATTGACAAAGATTTACCTCTATCCTTTGTATTAAATTTCTGAGTTCACGACCAGTTTCATCGACCTTATCTTGTAATATTTGTACTTGGTCCTGGCCCGTTTGGAAAGATTTGGTATATTCAGCCGTTTCATTTAGAATTGGTCGTTTCTGCGTGCAAGACGGCCTAGAATTAAAATACGAATGACGTCCAAACTGGGAATAAACTGCAATGTTTTTATTATAAATGTTTACACAATTATGTTGTTAATATTTATTTATAATGTATTGCAGGTGGTTCAAAACAATGACAGAACATATTTATTGCTTTTGATGGTATCATTCAACAATAAACACTAAGTAATTTCTACCAATGCGAACCAAAGCCCGTTCTTAAGAAAAAAAGAATGGTATTTAATAATCTTTTATTTATGAATCCAAGTAATATTTATAAGATTTTTGTGATACAACCACTGTCACGTAACAGTGTTTTCATATTAAGATACCTTGTAGCTTTTACTGGGACCGAGCCTCCAATCTCTGCTATTCTGTTGGTAACAATTGATCGCTTCTTCCGTTCCACTAGAACAAGAAAACGAGTGTCAAATACATAAAATGAATATTCAAACAATGCTTTCTTTAGTATATAGAAATGTGTGTATACCTCCCGCTTCATTTGCCTGCCGCAGTGGTATATTTACATACTTAAAGGTAAAATTTTAAATTAGTAAGTAATATATAAGAATAGAATTATGACTTTACTATTATTTATTACACGTTTCAAAACTTACGGCTTTATAGTAGAGTAACAGTATGCAAGCAATGTCGTATTTTAGGTTACTGTGTGTTCATTTATTATTAAAATACAAATATTGCAGATAACTCAAACGTTTTTAAATACTATTAGACATCGTATGAAACTGATCAAATACAACATGCACAATCCTACGAAGTAATATTGCATGATGATATGTTTTTTTCTGACATGTTAATATATTCTGCAATAGTGGCTACTATTGATTATTAAACAGAATAACAAACTTAATTCATGGCATACTTTTGCTGTGTTTATTTTTCCTTTTTCGATCTTTTTCACTTTCATCAAGAGAACTTATTGATTTAGACGTATCGTAAAACCCTATCCCTGTCAAACCCGTCATACCAGGGGTGTTGTCAGAAATTAATGTTCCGCCCAGAGAAACATTGTTCTAAAATACAAATATGGAAATGTTAGATTTAAAATCAATGTTACACCCGATGATGTATTCATTGCGAGTAACCCTTTAACTTTAAACGTAAAACATTCTTGTCATTCCATATATTATCGTCATATATGGTCTAAAATAAAGTATGAGTGTATCTTATTCTCATATGTAAAGTGAAACCACTACCAATATCAATTTCCAATTCCTATAAATATCACATTTCTTAAAATATTGTTTTAAGGATAATGTCCCTTGTCTTACAACTGTGCTATGTCATGATAATCAAATATAACAACTTTTAATTTGATAGTATTGATAGTATTGAAATCATCTTACTAATGATAAGCAATTTTGACATAATTATATATAACTTAAAATAATTATATAGAATTCATATTAATTCCCTTGTCTTACAACAGTGTCTTGTCAATGTTAACAAGCATTTCACGTTCCCTATTAATACATTGCTTTCTTTTTCAAAAAATCTACTCAATAGGCAATTATGACAAAATGTCTAAGGTACAAAGGGGCATAACGTAACAGAATATTACTTTAAAAATAATATTCTTTTTTAAACAACTTCGTCTTGTTATTTTGAACAAGCATTCTAAGTTTCAATATTTGATAACGTTAACATTGTGTAAGTTATTGGATACATTTAGGTCTTTACATTTTAGGTTATATAATTTAGTAACAAACAAATGCTTCAAATTTGTTTTCAATTTGAGAATTATACATATTATTATGCACATCAATTAATAATCTTTTTTCAAAACCTTAAAAACGTGTACTAGACTTGTGTCTATTTGAAGCTCTGCGATTTCTGTATTGAAGACGAAATCAGAACCCGATCGAGAAAATTCCAAGATGATCGGTATTTGAATGAAAACATTTAAGTAAGAATCGAATTTTTGTAGAAAACAATTTCCAAAATATATAAAAGGATGTTATTGTCTTTTGTAAAGTAAATAAACTGTAACAATTCGAAAACGTGTATAAATGTAACAAAACGCAACAGGGATTAAATATTTGATTGCATTAACAGAAAGAAAAGCTTTACAAAATAGGTACTTTTGGTGTACATGTCACTCTCTCTGGCAAACAGTTAATCTGTCCTATTATCGATTCGGCATTATGTGTCTGAATATTCTGCTGTTGTTCTTTCCCCATCTTGACCAAAACATCTTCATTTGCCGCAAAACAATTTGAACAGCATCGCTGTCTGTTCGGTGCACGTCCGGGATTGTAAACTTGTCTGCTTGTATTATCACATTTTGATTTTACCTACAAACAGTGATAACTGAATAAGCTATTTTATGAAACAGATTAATTTTGATTTTCTGTATACATGTGATACATTAGCAACAACAAAAAACAAAGCTATGACTCTTGCTTGTAATGAAATGCTTATTGGTGACACTATTTATTTTCACTTTTATTTTTATATCTAAACATGAATTATCTGTAAACAATAGTATCTGTTTACGCGAAACATGATTTAATAAACTTGCAAGTATGAATTTTACCGATCCGAAATAACTTTATAATTTCGTTAACTGAAACATTCAGATTGATGCATTTCGACTTACTTTGATTTTGAAGATTCAAAACAAAGTTATATAATTACAAAACACTTACCTTTGCAGAATTCTGTCTAGCCTTATTAAGCAACTGTATCAGATTTGCAGACAGTCGCTCGAGTTGTCTAAAGTCGGAAACATCCATGCTTTCAATAATATTATTTCTGTTCGTTTGAATGTAGTCCTGTTCAAGATAATCGCTATCCTGATTGCATCTTCTCTGACCGAAATGTTGACTATAAACATCTCTTCCGACTTCTATATTTGCTTTAAACCGATTTACATCTGAGGTATTAGAAAAACCTTCACGTGGATTAAAAGAATGTTGTTCATAGATCCTGTTGCAGAACTTTACACACTTATCAATATGTGAAATATAATCAGACATTTTGAGCAACTGTTTTAACAGACGACTACGGTAAGACAAAATTAATCGTTTAATAACAGTGCTTGCTGTGCATTTGTTGTGCATAAATATGCTAATTATATTCAAATAAGGACATTCTTTCTCGTATAATTTCATTGTCGCATGATAGCAAGGTCATTGTTCGGGCATGTGTACTGACTCTAAATAGAAATGAAAACATTTATACATTTAAGATTAACTTGCAACTTATTCATATGGTGAGTAACACTATCTTTTGTTATATAAATATCTACTTCACAAATGTATAATCCTCCAACGTTTCGACGGGAAAAACCGTTTCTATCAAGGAGTTTGCTGTTTATTTAATAAATCAGATGTTTATACTTATTTTATTCCAACACTAAAATATGTACCAAAAACTGTGTTAGAAAAAAAGAAGACAAATATGTGATTTATAAAATAAGCTGCAAAGTACTTGATTAAAAGCGATCAAACCCCTGAAAGCGTTAGAGGCTGATATATTTGTGAATAAGGTGGTTATTTTGTTAACTGTTTCAATAGTAATATCTTTTGTTAGTTTGGTAGAAATTTCGTTTCACTTGATACGAATGACTATTTTTATATAGCTAGCAAGGTAGATAGATATTAAATACACATAAGATAATTTGTTATAACAATGACTAACACGTATTTTATAGTTTCTTACATTCATTGCGAGACTATATCATTAAAACTATCATACAACCTACTGCATAACCTATTGTGCATAATGTACGCTGAAATAACATATAATTATCATTTATACGCTAGATGATTCAGATTAAATTATATGCTGATATATGCGTATTACCTATACAGGTACTACAGTTTGCATTTATTGCTTTTTGTCTGCCAACTTTATTCCATATTTGTCTTACAAATATGCTTTTGTATGATAATTATAACCAGTGTAACAATCAGTCCGTGCAAATGTGTTGTCATAATTTATCAAAATTCGTGTTTTGTAAATGCCAAATTAGAATCAGTGAAGGCAAATGTAAATTTCAAGATTTAAGCACATTTCAAGTAATTGATGGAAAATGTCACAGCTTGCCCTTAATTAGTCGCCGTAAGAAACCGGCGACTATATTTGTAACAGCTTAATAATATATATATCTATGGTAGGAGAAGGCCTTAAAATCTAATAATAAAAGGCAAAAAACTTTGAATACATATGGAAGTAAGCTTATTGATTTTTTAAATCTTCATAACTTATATTAGACGTACAGCGTTTGGCTATAAATTAAACTATAATAATACAAATGATACACAAAGCAATGAATCTAATTCCTCATGGTTCGGACCTAAATGTAAGAAAGCTCGAAGAAATTTACATGCTGCAAAATACTTTTATAATAATAATCTTCAAAAAAAACAATGAAACAAAAGAAAATCTTAGAAAAAAAGCAAATATATACAAAAATACAATGAAGAAATTCCATGACAAAAACAAATATTCTAATGTTTACAAGTTAAAAATAAAAGGCAATGACTCTAGAAAATACTGGAAAATTCTAAAAGGCAAATAAAAATGAAGCAAATATAACAAATTTATTCAATTATTTTAAAGGAGTAAACTATAGTAAAGGTGAAAGCAATGGTGGTTCCAATAATTATTATAATAATAATAATAATAATAATAATAATAATAATAATAATAATAATAATAATAATAATAAATAATATTAAATAATAATAATAATAATAATAATAATAATAATAATAATCATAATAACAATAATAGCAATAATAATAATAATAATAATAGTAATACGAGGGATGATCAAAAAATAAACCGGACTTGGACTGTCAATTTAAGATAATAATAATAGCAATAATAATAATAATAATAATAATATAATAATAATAATATCATTAATAATAATAACTTACTAGCTTTATATGTCTATTGATATCAATGAAGTCGTTAAAGCAGTTAACAAATACAAATATTGCTGCAATGCAGCAATTGAGATGCTCCGCGCAAAAAATGCGCTCATTACAGATACTTTACCAAATCATTACTACACACAGGTCATTTTCTATTTAGATTAAGTACTGTTGTGTATTGTGCATTATTCCGAATGATTTGTAAAACGTTTAAATTTGCATAATTATACTTATCATATGCACTGTCACTGAGAGAGGGGCCAGCTTTACATTTAACAAAATGCTTTCACTGATGCCTACCCTGTGTCACTACTGTAGTCAGTAATATTAGATGATAAAAAATATCAAAGCATGTACATTTTCTTTTTCACCTGTGACCTATAATGCTTCTCATTTTCAACAAATATCAACATCAAATCATGGTAAAAAATATAAAAATCCATATGTAAATAAGCCAAAACAAAAAAATTTCATCGACTTTATTTTCAAAATGTCCGTTAAATATTTCGCAGCAAATGGTTTATCATATCATCATGATATACATGTAACAAGAAGCATCAAAGGGCGTACAAGCAAGAAGGGCAGTAAGTGACGATGAACTAGTAGACATCCAGATGACAAGATTATTAGTATTTCATGCATTTTTTCATGTCAAATTAAAAAAAAGGTTTCTATTAATACCCGGAACTTTAGATAAAGTAGTTATATTTCAAGTCCCAGATAAAAACTGAAAGTAGAACACACACTGGAATGAAACAAATGGGATGAATTTTAAAAAGACCAATTTCAGGATGTTTTTGTTAAAGGCGTTAACAAAAATAATGTTACATTAAAAATCATTAATTAATTCATATGGCATGTTAAAACATTTTTTATCAATATAATGAAAGATAATACCTGAACTTAGACAGGTATGAGGAAATTAACTTACATCATGTTCATGCGAGTCAAAATTATTAAAGCTACTTGACATTGGTGCTGAATAAAGAACTACTGTTTATTGATTTATTGGGAGATCGTTGAATTGCATCAATATCATCGTTCTTACCCACCAGTGTATTTACATTCTATCAATAAACCCATAACACCTCATGTTAAAACTGCAGACGAAAGTTTTTGTTGTTATAATGTCACAGTATTCGGCAAATCAACATTTCACACAAAACACCATAAAACCAATTGCCTTCAAACATAATAGAATCAATCTCGTACAGCAAATAATCGTGAAATCAGGGTCCATTTACGGAATAAAAATGTACAATCAGTGCCTTAAAAAAAGACCTATTAATTTATCGGAAAGGACCCACGGAAAAGACAATTTCAAAATGATTATACTCGTAAAAATAGCCTGCTTAATTTTTTTGATAAAATATAAAGAATGCAATTTATTGTTTGCATTTTCTTTCCTGCAAAATTCACTAGTTCGTTATTAGTTACTAAAGCGCAACACGAATGACTGTTTCGTTTAATTTCAGACTCGCTAAATAAAACTACTTCTTTAAATAGATTTTCGGACTGTCATCTATTTATGGCACAACTGACAATAAAATGCATAGTTTACTGCAAAAAGTAGTACCCCAGCAGGCACATCAATGTTGTTTCAACGTTGAATTATGGTCAGATTTCAACGTTGAAATAAGGTCGGATTTATATTCGGATTTGAAAGTTTAAACAACGTTGAAATTTCAACGTTGATACAACGTTGCAGCTTCAACGTTGGCACAACGTTGAAAAGTTTCAATGTCATTTCAACGTTGAAAACCCACCATACTTTAATTTTTGGATATAAAGCAAAGTAACCAAGTTTAATGAAATATCAAGACAATATTAAATACTTCAGATATTTTATTTATATTCTATTTCAAAAATACAGTTCAAGTGCAGCTTAAATTCACTTTAATAGTTTTAACAATTAAGCTACAATCTGTTCCAATCCTTTCTTCTAGATCTTTCTGGGTATGTCAAGTGTTTGAGTACTTCTTTGGCTGTCTCTTACTGCTTCTGCAAATAAAAATAAGAAGTTTGTAGTTAAAAGTGACTTTGTCAGTCTCAAATTATACATATAATTACTCAACTTAGTGATTTGTTTTTATCTTAAAATGCTTATCTCTAAGATTTACGTCATAAAACAGCATAGAAATTGAAACATAGCTAAGTTTCATATTGATAGCAAATACTGTACATAAGACAACAAAATCTTCAAAAAAAAGAAGCTATTTAAAAGTCTCACCTATGATTGGTAAGAAAAACTGCTCCCAGTCAGTTACTTGCAGCATATTCCCAAGAAATTATCATTCTAGGCTCTAGCTAAGACCATTTTATGCAGCATCCTGAAATCAACAAACATGTAGATTTGATACATGTATTAATAATGTTACAGGAATATTCTGAAAATAATATATTTTAAGACAAGATAAATATCCAAAAAAAAATTAGTTGAAAAATGTATAATTTGTATTGTAAAGAAATTCAAATATATAAATTAATAAGAATTAATTTCAATTTAACAAACCTGACAGTCCTTTTCATGTTGAATGTATTGTATACAGGCTACAGCTACAATACTCTAAATTTCAGCCAGAACCAGGATCTAGAATATAAAATAATATACACAATAAAATAGAAATAGATTTATTATTTACGACTTTTAAACTTTAAAGTTTAACATTCAACTTTGTTATTTAACTTCATAATAATGTATTTTTTCAAACTAATTAACACTGTATTATACTATTACTAAAATATAAACATAGTTATATTGACGAATCGTCTTGGGACGTAAATTATCTTGGCCGAACTACGTTATAGGTTTCAATTTTATAATTGATTTAATTTTAATTAGGATATAGTACAGAAAAATGTTTTATAATATGAAAAATAAATTAAAGAAAGACAAGATTTGTAAAATCATAAATTGCCAAGGACATCAATAACTTCGTGTTCAAGAGTCTACTGAACTTAGGTCGCGAAAACGTGTCAAATCAACTCAGTCGTGTTTTCATCTCTCATTTATTTCATAAAGTAAATTAAGGTAGAATTTTAAAAATAAATAATAATATTTTAGAAAAAAAAGTAAACTAAAGTAACACATTACTCGTACCTCCGAAATCCAAATAAATTGCCGAATCGTGTTGTATTCCAACTTCGAAACAGCGCCACCAT